GGGGAGGGGAGAGGTAGTTTTCGTGAGGTTTGGGTTCTGAAGGGTTCTGAGCAGGGGCTATGAAGCGCGGATCAGGAGGAGTTGCTGTCTGTGAGCAGGGATTAGAAGCAGTGGGGACAGGGTGTCAATGGGGGGAAACATCTGTAACAAAAATTAATCAGTTAATAAAAATAAAAAAGCAGGGCCCGGCCGGTGTGGCTCAGTGGTTGAGTGTCAACCCACGCACCAAGAGGTCACCGGTTTGATTACCGGTCAGGGCACATGCTCAGGTTGTGGGCTCAACCCCCAGTGGGGGGCGTGCAGGAGGCGGCCAGTCGATGTTCTCTCTCATCGATGTTTCTATCTCTCTTTCCTTCTCCCTTCCTCTCTCTAAAAATCAATAAAGAAAAAAAAGATTAAAAAAAAAGAAGAAGCAGGACTGCCCTGGCCGGTCTGGCTCAGCGGTTGGAGCATCAGCCTGCAGACCAGTGACCCCGGGTTCGTATCCCGCTAGGGGCACCTTCCAAAAAAAAAAAGGAGCAAGATTTAACTAGGGGTGGGGTGCTGTCACGAGGTGAGTGGGTTAGCATGGGGGCACCCACTAATGCTTAGGAATTGCAAAGCCTGTCTGGGTGTCTCTGGTAGGAAAGCAGCAGTCTCTGAGAGAGGGGGCCATCATGACCTCTGACAACTGCCTCATGACCTTGGGAGAAAGCAGGTGTCCGGTTGCTGGGCTGTGGGCTTCACCTGTGTCTCCCCTCCCAGCCTGATTGACTGCAGGCTGCTCTTTGTTCGTTTGTTTCAGTCCAAGCTGATGTTTACTCTTCCATTCCCTAACAGGTTTTCCCTCTTTCAGTTGCACTTATGAATATACATCATGCCTACTGGGTCTTGATATTAAATGTATTTCTTACTGTGGGTCAAGGTTAAAGAAGGAAATGTTGGCAGCAGAAGGACGGCACCAGGTGTTAGACCGGTGGGGTCGGACCCGGGTTTAGCAACCTCGGTACTTGAGTTCTGACTCGGAAAGAATTCAGGGCCCAGACTGAAATCGCAGAGGTAGAGAAGAACTTTGCAGGAGAAATGGGCTTAGGAACCAAGTTACGGAGGCAAAGGAAGGGCCCTGGGAGCTTGGAAGTGAGGAAGGTCAAGGTGACCGCCTGGGGCACGGAGAGGGGGAGGAGAAAGGCTCTGGATGTGCCCCTGGAAGGGACAGCACAAGGGGTCCTCCATCCTAAGGCTTTTAAGGGTGGACATTTGAGGGGCGGTCCCATGAGAAGATCTCAGTAGGCTATTCAGCAGATTTCCAGCGGTGTTCTTTCAGGGTTGGGGTCTGCACGAACTGAGCGGTCTGCACTAGGGCTGGGGGTCATTGTTCAATGCCTTGGTGCTGAGGTCGGCCATGTGGCTTGTCTGGTTTTCCTGCTTTTCTGGGCCTGGAGCTGAAATACAATTGAGGCTTAGATGTTATCTCTAGGGAGGAAAGGTCAGGGGGTTCACAGCACAGGAGGAAAGATCACCCCCGTGGGCGGGCGAGGTCCCACCCTACAGTTGTCTGTTGCCAGGCACCTGGGGCTGTTCTCCCTGTGACCTTCTGTACCTGTTCATTGTCCTTGTTCCCCTCTGTCTAACTGCCCAGCACAGAAAGCCACCATCCCATAAACTGCTTCCCAAGCTTTTTGATGTCTTGGCACAAAGAAAATGATTATTTGTTCAGCACAAATGATATTTGTTCTGCTCACTGGGGAAAACAGATGAAGCTTCTTGGGGGTCAAGAGGGTCCAGGGGCCCTCTGACCTGGACCCCACCTGGCTGTCCTGGGGGGGAGGGAAGCAGTGGACCTCAGGGGTACCCACACCCCTACTTAGCACAGCGTTCAAGATGCTCAGGGCTGGAGAGTAGGAGCAATTACAGCTCAGTGAAAAGGAACCATTTCTGGAAAGAGGCAGAGGCTGTGTGGACTAGAAGGCAGGAGAGGTCTGGGTTCTGAGACCTGGGCCCAGCCGGGGACTGTTGCCACTCACAGACTTGGTTCAGCAATGAACTGCCCTGAGCCCTTCAGAGTGGGTACTGAAAACCCCCGCCCCCCATCCGCAGCCTGGGAGCAGCCCTAACAGTGTTTTGATAAAATGTGTAAAAGTTGGACATGGTTAAGTCTGCTATCTCTTTCCACTCTGACTTCCTCTTTATCATATTTCCCCTCCTGTCAGGAGGCTTCCGCACTGTTTTTTCATGATTGTGTGTTTTAGTTTGGGGACCTTGAGAAGGAAGATACCTATTAAAAAGGGCCCCTGGTGGCTAACTGGGCTCAAAATTTAAAAAAACAAGACAAAACAAAAACAGAACCTAGTAGCCATTTCTACCCAGGGGCCTCTCACACAAACCAGTTCAGGGAGCAGCCTGCGCTATACTGCCCGCCTGCACTGTGTTCCCACCATGGGAGTGGCCCTAATAGAGTTCCTAGAATCCTGATTCTACCAATAGGACTGAAGCTTTCCCCATCCAATTGGAACTGCACAGTCATAGCCCCATTGTGCAGCTCCATTCTGACCAATCAGGACAGTGCCTTTTGGGCCAATCAAACTGTTGGGATTTGGTGCATCAAAGGTTGCTGGTTCGATTCTGGATCAGGGCACTTGCCTGGGTTGTGGGCTCCATCCCTAGTAGGGGGCATTCAGGAGGCAACCAAGCCATGTTCTGTTCTCACATGGATGTTTCTCTCTCTTTTTAAAAAAATTTTATTTCTGACCACAGGTTTATTCAACACAAAATAATCCCTCCAACTTTATTGAGGCTACCAAATCTGCCTCTAAACTGGAATTCAGTTGGTGACCCAGTCCCGGCTTCAGCTTTCTTGTGGGCACCAGGGCACAGCGCTCTGCCAGTAGGTGTCTCTCCGCTTCCCCTCCTGTGAGACTCACAAGTCGCTTGCCCTCCAGACCTCTGAGCCTTGGCCTGCCAGTCTCAGGCCAGCTGCAGCACAAAGTGGCAGGCACGGTCTCGGGGCAGGTGGAGATCATCTCGGAGATACTGGATGCCCTCGCTGGTAAGGTACCAGTAGAAATGTCTCCAGGCAAACTGTTCCTTCACGTAGCCTCGAGATTTGAGCGACTGCATGGCCTTCGTGACGTGAAGATTAGGCACGTTCTTGTCTGCCAGCTCGGGGTGTTTAGGCATGTACCCGTCCTTCTTGGCCACCATCGCCCGCTCCTTAAAAAGGAGTTCATAAATGGCAATTGGTTCTTCTTGGGCATCAACACCACGACGGCTGGCTGCTGCATCTGAGGCTGGAGCTGGAAAGAAAGGGGCATCTCTCTCTCTTTAAAAAAAAAATAAAAAATTTGATTGACTTTTTTAGAGAGACATCAAGTCACCAGCCAACCTCAATTCCAAAACCCATACCTCAGTGAAATAACCCCAAAGTAGATGTTTCCAGAAAGTTTAGATCTAGATACTTTATTTATTTATTTATTTATTTTTGGTATGTGCCCCTAGCGGGAACCGAATCCAGGACTCTCCGGTCTGCAGGCCAACATTCCAACCTCTGAGCCAAACCAGCCAGGGCTAGATCCTTTTTTTTCAAACACCAACAAACCTTGGCAATCTTTCCATTTCAGCACATAGACTGACTTGGTTGTTTTCAACAGCTACATAGATTGCATGTGAGAAAATTAACCTAACCATTTGGGGCAGGTCTCATCAAGTCCATTATGCAACTATTTCATTGCACTGGTCTTGTAAGTTGTAACCTGGGTTTTCACAATACCTCTCACTAGGCTGTTACCTATATCATAATTTTTTCCAGGTTTTGATCCTCCATCTAGGAAATCTCACACAAAAAGTTAAGACAAGCCCTGACCAGTTTGGCTCAGCAGTTACAGTGTCGGCACTCGACCAATGAGTCATAGGTTCAATTCTGGTCAAGGGCACGTACCTTGGTTTCGGTTCATCCCCAGCCCTGGTCAGGGTTGTGAGAGAGGCAACCAATGGATGTGTCTCTCTCATGTTGATGTAGCCCTCTCTCTCTCCCTTCCTCTCTGTCTGAAAATAAAAGGAAAAATATCCTTGGGTGAGGATTAAAAAAAAAAAAAAGTTAAGTCAAGTAGGTGGATCCAGAGATTGGCCACCAGACTTGCCTCAAATCCAACTCTGAGCCCTTAATGATGCACCAACACCTGCTCACATTCCCCTTTAAAGATTCCCCTTGGAGGTGCGGAGTTTACCTAACTACAGATGCCCAGGAGGGGCCACCCAGTGCTGGGTCACAAGCTAAAATGAGTCAGCCCTATTTTGTAAGCTGCTGGCCCTACAATGTGCCTCATTTCTTTAGTCTTACTTAAATCTTCCACGCGGGACTCCGAGGGGGCCCGCTGGACCGCAAAGCCAGAACATTCTAGAGGGAGCAGCGCCACCTGGAGGCCAGATGTGGTGAAGGCCGTGATGAGGTGGGGGCGCACCCCAAGAGACTGAGAACGTGGGGGGGAACGGGGAGATTCTCACCGCCCACCTGCTAGGGTCTAGGCTTGATGTCATGAAAGGGAGGGCAGTTTTTCCTGACTCTTCTCTGCCAGCCAGCCAGCCCATCATGACCTGGGACAGAGACTGGGTCTTGCATTCATCTATGTATGTGGCTCAGTAACTTCCCAAATCGGATGTCAAATCACCTAGTGAAAGTTCCATAATGTTCATTGGGTGAAGATGCCCCAGTAAGGTGACTGTACAGCGCTTCACACACCGGGTTCAGAATACAGTCCCCATTCTGCGTGTCCAGTGCTTTTTCGATTGCTTTTCCCCTGTGACACGCCCAACTGTTCATTCGGGTCCCTCTGCGGCAAAGGTGGGGAGTGCACTGGAGGATTAGTTATGCAAGGCAGTGAGTCAATCCAGGCCTACGATCGGAAAGACTACAAGTCCCACAATGCACCATTCATCAGCGTACGGAGAGGCTGAGGGAGCATTGCCTTCTGGGAATTGCAGTCTTCAACTTGTTTGTGATGCAGGCGAAACTAGGAGGGGGCGGAGAGGGAGTAAACTCTTACCACGTGATACTCGGGATCTGATGGTTGGGCCAACCCCCGCTTAAGAGCTGTGATTGGCTGACTCTAATACGAACGACGCCACTAGAGGCGGGTCGGAGAGGAGCGCAAGCGCACTGCGTTACGAGTCTCGGGACCCCTTTCCAAGAGACTATGGCGCTCAACAAGAATCACTCGGAGGCCGGCGGAGTGATCGTCAACAACACAGAGAGGTGAAAACACTGCAGAAGGACCCGGCAGGACCGAAGGGAGGACGTCAAGAGTGTGGGCGGTGGGCGGTGGGGAATAAACCCGCGGAGAGGGGAAATGGCTGGGGGAGTCGTGGGGGGGGGGGTAACGGCTGGGGGCGGGGCTGGAGGAAGGTGGGTGGGTCGCGGGGGAGGGGCCGGGTTTCACGATCAGCTGTGGGATGGGGTGGGGGATGGGATGGGGATGGTGGGGGGGCGGCTGAACGGGGCGGAGTTGAGGGTAGCAAGTGGGGCCTGGAGGTAGTTCTTGAGCCCCTTTCCCAGAATCGGTGACTTGAAGTGCTTGGAGGAGCCCTAGACAAAAATAATTGCCATTTGTTGGACGTTCACTATGTTACTGCGTGTCTGGCGCTGCTCCTCCTCTACCTTATTTAAAATACGTAAGTCCTGCGGAGCAGATACTATCATTATACACATTTTACGTGTAGGGAATCTACATGGGAGGCACAGACAGGTTGAGTAACTTGCCTGAGATCACAGAGCTGTAACAGTGGAATTCCAGGAAAGAAATCCTGACTCCAAAATCAGTAGGTGAAACTACCAGTATATATAGCCTTCCAGCACATTCCAGAACTGCTCAGATGAGAAACAGGCCAGAGGTGAGATTAGATATGTTTGTCAAGTGTCTAATACATTTCCTGTCAGGGTGTCTGGCCTTGTAAAGGTCCCTTTTTGCTTCTTTCTCTTGAACACATGTTGGCTTGGGTAACTTCCCAAAGCAGGGGTCTCGCAACTTGGAGATTTCTTTCTACCAACCCCTCAGTTAATTCTGTCTCTCCTCCAGTGTCTGGGCTCCTTGGATAGCTTCTCTCCTTGCTCTTTGGGCATTGAGAATCTGGCCAGCCAGCCCTGGCTGAGCTTTGCTGAGCCTGAGGCTCTTCTTGAAGGCAGAAGGAGCTTAAGAGGAACCCGAGTCCCCAGAGGAGATTTGGTGGGATCAGAGCCTTGTAGCCGGCCAAGGGCAGCACCCAGCCCAGGGGCTGTCACCTGAGAATGCTTGATGAGTCAGAGGAGACCGCCTAGAGTCCCCTGACCTTAAAATGCTGACTCTCCCTCCATCTTACCTGCTCAGAGTTTGCCAGACCATCCTGTTCCTGGGAACGACCTGTTCTCTGAGCTGTATTTCTCTTCTCTGGTACCATTCTCTTCCCCCTTTCTCCTCCCCAGTGAAGGAAGTTACGATATTTGGGAGGAGGAAGAAAACAAACGTCATCTTAGACCAACCTTGTTGTTTTCTGATCAGAGAAACCTCACATTGCTCCCAGTTTGTAGGTCTCAGTGAGACCTTTCTGGGACAAGAATGTATCTGTCCTGTTGGACCTCCTACCTGGCTGATAAATAATAGTGTGCTGCTAAATAACAGTGTGTTGTGTTTCAGAAAATGCTTCATATCTGGGGGGAAAAAAAAAAGTGTGTATAGTAATTGAAGTTTAAATTAGTGTTTTAAATTTCATGTGTAAAATAGTCAACCTTATTCTTCAAGTCATGAATCCGTTGAGAGTGATGAAAAACTATAGATTTCCCAGAAAAATGCATGTACAGTGTCATCTCAGGTGCTTCAAGGACTGACATCCCTGCAGACCTAGCTTAAAGGAACCCCAGGTTTAAAGGAACCCTGGCCGGGCCCATGTGGCTCAGTGGTTGAGCGTCGACCCAAGCACCAGGAGGTCGAGGGTTCGATTCCTGGTCAGGGCACATGCCCAGCTTGTGGGCCCAATCCCTAGAGGGGGGCATGCAGGAGGAGGCCAGTCAGTGTTCTTTCTCATCGATGTTTCTATCTCCCTCTTCCTTCGTCTCTCTCTCAAATCAATAAAGAAAATATATTTTAAAAAAAGTCATATGAAGTAATTGTTTAAAATAAATAAATAAAGGAATCCTGAAGTCAGCCCTTTTGTCATGTGTAGTCCTGTCCTAGAATGTTTATATGTTAGGATTAAAGAACAAACCAACAAAAACAGAACACCTGTCATAAGACTCGGCAGAAAATGGAGTTAACTCAGATGATCTAACCTGATTTGAGGGATTGCGGCGCTGCCAGAGCCCTGGGGCTCTTCAGCCCTGGCCACGTGGGCTGAATAAGTGGGGTTGGGGAGATTCTGGAGAACCCCAGCGTGCTCATCTCTTCCATGGTTACAGCAGCAGTTCCTTGCAGCAATGTTGAGACTGTTAAGAGATGACATGCCAGGTATCTGCTTACCAGGAGGGTCCAGCCCCTGGGATAACAGATCATGGCTGCAGGCTGTGTCATCAGACCCTTTCCTCTTTCCTTATCACAGCATCCTCATGACCTATGACCACGTGGAACTTACGTTCAATGACATGAAGAATGTGCCAGAAGCCTTCAAAGGGACCAAGAAAGGCAGCGTCTACCTTACCCCTTACCGGGTGAGTTGCAAGCACGGCGGTTGGTTTGGAGGCTGTGGCTCCTGCAGGCTGTTTTGACTCATGTCTGCCTCAGTCTTGTGAGTCCAGTGGCCTCTGAACCCGGTGAACTTTACTTCCTTACTTCGGGTGTTTCTCTGTCACATGCTTCTGGGTTCTAGAACCACCAGGCAATTTGCGCAGCCGAACTGACCACTGGACATTGAGTTCTGCAAGTTTTAGAACTGTTGCTGCACAATCTCCACATATCTGGATGCAGCTGCTGGGATGGCTTGGGCCTGGAGGGGTGAAGCTGTTAGTATTCTTATTTCTGGGAGAGTAGCCTATGAGGCCTTTTGTACATCCACTGACAAACATGGTAAACAGGATACAGTAGCATGACCACAGCCTCCGGACTGCGCAGAGAGCCCGGCAAAACCCTGCAGAGCAAGAAATGCCAGACTGCATAATGGGCCTTGCCTGAGAATTACCCAGGCAGATGCTGAGAGACTTCCAGAGAAATGCAAGTGGATATTCTTGGAAAAGGATCTGTAGTTACCCGAGAGTTAGACTTAAATGGTTGGAAGAGGAGCATATCTTCAAGTATTAATCACCAGGATTTAGCGGAGGAAGGAGAGGCTCAAATCCGTTTCCGGCGGTTCAGGTGGCATTTTCAGTCACTGATGTGGATTTGAAACAAGGTTCTCCAAGTGCAGGATGGGAGACTCACTGTTTGGACAGTGAGGCGGAGGGAAGCCTGTGACAGTCCCCTTGCCCCGGGCTCTGACGCCCTCGCCACTCCTTCGTTCTTGGTTCTGGGAAGCTCAGGCTAGACCTCCCTTCAGGAACCCTTCCCTGCCTCACCCCTGCCCCTCTGCCCTTTCAGCTGCACACCACATCCGCCACCTCCCCTTGGCCTAAGTGACAGAGCAGTCTGTCCTCACATGCTGCCTGTGAGGGGCATGTTTTTCTCCTGAATACACGTCTGGCCTCTCCATGTAGGGTCTTTTCTTTAAAAAAACTCTCTGCAGGAATGTCTGGTGCAGAGAGGTCTGGCTGCCCGCCCTGCCCTGGCGTGGACTCACCACCTAGGAAGCGATGGCGCGGTGGGCGGTGGTTTGGCTGGTGATGGTTCTCCTCTTCTCTCGCCGCAGGTCATCTTTCTGTCCAAGGGGAGGGATGCCATGCAGTCCTTCATGATGCCGTTTTATCTGATGAAGGACTGTGAGATCAAGCAGCCTGTGTTTGGTGCAAACTACATCAAGGGCACAGTGAAGGCAGAGGCAGGAGGTGGGTGACGGGGCCTGGGGGATATCGGCGGGGCTTCCAGAGACGTGCTCTGGCACCTCTGGCTGCTGCCTTGGAGATGTCCTCTTTGGTCCCTTATCGTCCTAGTTTGTCCTCTTCCTGGCTCGGAATTAGTGTCCAGACCCAGCGCCTGGGCTGCCAGCTGCTCGGCCGAGATGGGTTTTGGTGACAGGAACTAGGAAACGCTGGCATGAAAGATGGCAGCTCACATCACCTTTGCAGAGAGTTGTCAGCAAAATGACTGCCAACAGTAGAAATGCTTGTTGGGACCCGGGGTGTGTGGAAGGGCCTTTCCCTGGAGCCGGGAGGAGCTGCCCCTCTGATGCCCAGGAGGCCTTGCTGGGTGGCAGGCTCTTTCGCAGACACCAGTGACCTGTGTCCAGCCCCCTCCCCTCGCGCCCCGCCAGCCCCAGGAGCCTCCGGAGTGGCTGAGAGCTCACAGCTCCCCTCTGGCGGAAGCCAGGCTAGAGGGGCCAGACCTGAACGGCAGTGGCTGCTGACTGGACCTGCTCCTCGGAGGTCGCTGTATTGGGGGTGGGAGCCCTAGTGCAGATGTACTTACAGTGCTGAGTGGGCACAGGCAGGAGGCAGGAGTCCTGGCCGAACTGCGGCGCCGCAGAGCCAGCCCTTCCCCACAGGCCTCCGGGGCGTTGGATGGGGACCCGGGAAGGACAGGTGGCCATCTCTTCAGAGTGGTCTGTGTTCTGAGCTGATGCCGCTCTGTTCCTTCGCAGGTGGCTGGGAAGGCTCTGCGGCGTACAAGTTGACCTTCACGGCAGGGGGCGCCATCGAGTTCGGACAGCGGATGCTGCAGGTGGCGGCTCAAGGTATCAAGGCTCTAAAACTTAGGGTCTGAGGACATAGGAAGTATGTGGTTTTTTGTTCATTTGAGTTTGTTTACTTTTTCTGTTTTTAAGTGCTCAAGAGATAAGTCTTGGGCCCTGGGCTGACCAGGGCTGGGAGTTGGGAAGGAAGCCTGTAATTGGCATCACCCTGTCCTGGGCCGGACGGGCTGGGTTTTCCCTGCTTGGAGCAGGAATAGGACATTTTGATGAAGCTGTTTGGACTCAAGAACATTTTACTATGGCCTCATAAAAAACAGAATACTCAACAACTAAATTACCCTCAGACAACCATTTCAAATCACCACTAGATGTGTACAGTGTCACCCTTCATTTTTTTTTTAATCCTCACCCGAGGACATTTTTCCACTTTTTGTTCAGATAGAGTGGGAAGGAGAGAGAGGGAGACAGAGAGAGAGAGAGAGAGAGAGAGAGAGAGAGAGAGAAACATCGACGTGAAAGGGATACATCAAGTGGCTGCCACCCGCACGACCAACGAGGGAGGGCCAGGGACAAACTGCAACCAAGGTATGCGGCCTTAGCAGGAACCGAACCCGGGTCTCTCTGGACCTCAGGCCAACAGCATCACCCTTCTTTACCCCGTCCCTGAGCCTCCCTCCTGCCCTCCGTCCACCCATCCATCTTCTCCCCCTGTGCGTGACCTCCCCATCTGACCTCTCTCCCCATCCTGACTTCACCATACTCGGACAAGGCCAGTTCAGGTGTGGGAGGGGGCGGGGCGGAGCCGGATAAGGCTGCTGTGCACATGTTGGGACCCTGCAGCTCCCCTCCCAGGTGGGACTACCCTCTCCCCAGCCCTGAGGCCTGAGACGCTCACTTCTCTCTCCCCTGTACTTATAGCCTCCCGAGGCGAAGCCCCCCCTGGAGCCTACGGGTACTCCTACCTGCCCAGCGGGGCCTATGTCTTTCCCCCACCAGTCGCCAATGGAATGTACCCCTGCCCTCCTGGCTACCCTTATCCACCTCCCCCACCTGGTGAGTGTGTCCTTTGCCGCCCTCCCCTCACCCCACCCACCAAGCAGCCGCACCCAGGCCAGGGTGGTGTAGAGGGGAAACTTGTTCTGTGACCTGCTTCAGGGCTAACGGAGCTGGAGAGGGCTGGGCTGCTCACTGGGTCCCTGTTCCTCTCTTGCCGAGCAGAGTTCTATCCGGGTCCTCCCATGATGGATGGGGCCATGGGATATGTGCAGCCCCCACCGCCGCCCTACCCCGGACCCATGGAGCCGCCGGTCAGCAGCCCTGTGGTTCCCTCCACCCCCGCAGGTGAGGCCCCAGGCTGACAGCAGTCCCTGGAGTCCAGCCTCCTCGTGGCTGCGCGGAGCCTCCGGGAACTGCTGGAGGCTGGCGGCGGCCCAGATGGTGAATGACCCCTGGCCTGGGAACTGCGCCGGCCCAGCAGGGCGGTGGGCCCAGGATGAAGGGCTGGATCCCAGCACTCTGCTCTCAGCTAGTCCAGTGCCCGGGGACCAGGAAGGTGTCCCCCTGTCCCTCGGCTTCCTCAGCCACCAGCACGCGGTCACAGTGCACCTGGCGGGGCTGTGAGGGGGGGAGGACTGGGGGGGACGGGAACGCGCACCGAGTGCTGCGGGAGCGGGAACTGGGTCTGAGCACCAGCTGCCCGGAGCAGTGGGGCCGGGTCGGGCTGAGCGCAGCCGAGGGGCGGCTGGAAGGGAGGGCGGCTCATCCCTGGTGTGTTTGCTTCCACAGCCGAAGCCAAGGCCGCAGAGGCCGCTGCCAGCGCCTATTACAACCCGGACAACCCACACACCGTCTACATGCCCACGGTGGGGACCGGGGGGGGGGCCCGGGGGGGAGCAGGGCGGCCACAGGCGGCTGGGATTTAGGGGCGGGGGAGACCATGGCTCGTTTTGAACCTTTTAATGTGATCTTTCCTCTCTTCCTTCCGTAGAACCAGCCTCCGCCACCTCCCTACTACCCCCCGGAAGACAAGAAGACCCAGTAGACCCCTTGCCCCCGCCTCCGGCCTCTCATCGCTCTTTCCTTCTCTCCCCTTGGGGCTGGATCTAGGGTGAGGGCGTTGGGAGCTTGTTCTTTCTCCAGGTCTGATTACAAAACGCTGATCAGGAACTGGTGTTGACCGAAGGGAGGGCCCTTGCCTGGGAGCTGTGCCTTCAGCATCCCACACTGTCCCAGAGCCCACGGTGCTCAGCACACGCCCCTCGCATGTCGGGCGCTCCCTGGGAGCGCAGGTGTCCCCCGCGCTCCTGTCTTGCTCTAGTAGCTTCTACCCATGGAGGGACTCTCTGGCCACCTCCTCCACTACAGTCCAGCTCCCTCGATTTGGTAGCCGCTTCACCCTCAGCCCCGAGTCCTCCGAGGACCCTGTGCCCTGCTCACATTCCCTGCACTCTGGTCTGTGCCCAGCGTGGAGGCCACCATCCGCCGGACTGTCAGCCCACATTCCATTCCCAGCCAGCCTCCTGCCCTTGGCCCCAGTCGTACCTGCCCTGTCCCTGGTCATCCTGTTGCTGTCGCTGTGACTCGGAGCTTTAGTCTGAGCTCCCAGGGTGGCATCGGGGCCAGGCCCCTGCTTCCTTGCAGTGTGCTGGGACTGTTTCCCTCTGCGTCTCCCGGCTAGAAGGGGCTCTGGAGCTGGGGACGCATGTCCGTCCCAGCGTGCCATTTGGCGCCTGCTGGGTGGGCTGGAACAAAGGCCGGGACCTGGGGACGTGGGCGGGGTGGGCGCTGACTGACCGCTCCAAAGGCCCTCAGCCTGCCGGCTTCCCCTCGAGCTTCGAGTCTGGTTGGCGGTGTGCCCCCTGGATGCTCCCAAATCTGCTCTCATTTGCTCCTGGACTGGCCATGAAGTGAGGAGATGGTTATTTAAAGAGAATTCCCTATTTATTTGACAAAAAAAAAAAAAATCCAGTTAATATATTAATGTGAAATAAACCCTGTTTGCACCTTGATTTGTTTGTTGAAAATGTGAAGTAGTAAAAATGAAGTAACTGGACCGTGTGTGGCTCTGTGTGGTGACCAAGGGGAGCCCTTGGGGAGGAAAGCCATCTGGCTGCCAGGGCCCTGGGGAGGCTCGGGTGAGACTGTTCCCTCCGTGTGAGAGCCCCTTGTTCTCGTGGCCCATTTGGGCCCAGGAAGCTAAGGCCTCTCGTGTCTCCATTCCCTGCCGGTTACTCAGCAACTGCTCACCCTGAGTGCCCGGGGCCTGGCACAGCCCAGCCGCTCCCTGGATGGGAGGCCTCAGGCAGTGCCAGCTTTCTCATAACTCCTGTCCGGCTGTGTGCTCAGCACCTCAGGGAAGTGGCCCTGGGCCCAGACTGGCCGGCAGAAGCGTGCCCAGGCTGGTGAGGGGCACCCTTGAAGGTGGGCCAGGCTGGCCCCTGGAGGGTGCCGCTTCCCTGCCACCCTCCTTGTGAGCCTCAGTGCCCAGGCAGAGGAGGGTAGGAAGGAGCCAGAGTTCATGCCCAATCCTACCCGTGCCCCTCCCCCCCCCGCCCCCACCTTGGCCTGGAGGAAGGCCCTGGGCATGACCCCAGCTAATCTTCGAGCTCTGAAGTGTCCATTTTTCCTGCCTCTTCTGGACCAAGGTGCCCTCAAGGCAGGCTAGGCACCCCTCCATCCTTGCGTGGCCTCTTCCTTCTGGCTAGCCCCGCCCAGGAGCTCCTGCGGTTGGCTAAACCCCTACAAGGACATCTGAAGGGAGCACCTTCCTGACTGTCCTTGTGGGGGCAGGGGTGGAGGCCCCTCCCTGCCCAGTGCAGCTTGGCCCTGTCACCTCAGTGGAATGTCACCTGTGGAGTGGAGCCGGCTGAGCAGTTGTCCACCTCTTGGGAGCCTCCACTCTGCGCTCTGCCCAACCCCACCCCAGGTCTGGGGCCCATTCAGGAAAGTCTGGGGGTGAGAAGCCCACCCATCGGGAGGCTTCCCTCTGTCCTCAGCCCAGCTGGGTGCAGTCCCTGGAATGGGGCATGGCCACTGCCCGGTCTACTCTGCCGCCCCCTGCTGGGGAGCACTGGACCCTCCCCAGTGCCGCGTAGGAGAGTGGGGTGAGGTGGGACCCGCCCACCGAGTTCACCTGCCTGCAGCCTGAGCTCCTCCAGGGCGCCCGCCAGGCCAGCAGAGGGAGGGAGGTGCTGGGGCCTGACTGGGTCTCTGAGGTGGTGAAACCCTGACCCGACCTCCCCGCCCATCCTCCTTCGCCCCTCCCCTGGCACCGGGTAGCAGCCCCGGGCTCTTTGCATAATCCTGTGGCTTCACTATCTTCACCGGCGGCCGGCAGCGGGCACAGAGGGGAAGGGCAGAGCTGGCCACCATGGCGACACTCCCCTCCCACTCCCCGCGGCGCCCTCCCATCTTGCGCCAGGCCATCAAGATAAGGCGCCACAGGGTCCGAAAGCTGCAGGATCCCCTGCCCCAAACGGTTCAGGAGGTAGGAGTGACCTCAGCGGGAGAAGAGCTAGCCTGGGTGGGGCCCTGCCGTCTTAGGGTGTGGGCCCCACCTCTTGGGCTGGGGCTGAGAGTGTGGTCCCCTCCCCTGCCTCCCCGTCCCCTAGGCAGAGCCTCCTGGGTCAGCAGAGTAGGGTCTGCGAGTTCTCTGGGCCACCCTGGGCCTTAGGTCAGGGTCTGAGCCCGTCTCTCTGGTGGAGCTGCCCCCCCACCCCGTCCCCTTCCAGTTCCAAAGGCACCGGCTCCATTAGGCGGGGAGTGTCCCTGCTGGGCCAGGCTGCTTGGGGACCAGCCGAGCAGCCCCCAGTCCTGTTTGACGTGACCCCCCGTCTCCCACCTCTGCTGCTGGGCCTCACTTCCGCCGCTGGGGTGCGAGCGTGGCCATCGATAAGCAGGGCTGTTTCCTCTGGGGAAGGAAAGGAGGTGGGGGCCGGGCCAGAGCTCGTGCTGCTGGGGCAGCCGAGCACCCATGGCCCTCAGCTGCCACAGGCCGGGGGACCAGGAAGGCGGGCCGGGGGCCGGACCCCCAGAAGGCCTGCTGTGGGAACAGGTGTGCGGCGCTGGGGGCTGGGGGCTGGGGGCTGGGGGCTGGGGCCCGCGCCGGGCCTGGGCCTGCTCTGCGGGAGCGCTGCTGCTGTTCAGGCCCCTATCGGGGCCTCCTGGACACTTTGCCTTTTCACCTTGCTCCCCAGATCGAGCCTCCGTCCCACCACTTCTCCCCTGAGGAGGTAAGAACTGGAGTGTTTGCAGGTACAAACAGGTGCTGGAAGCAGCTCTGCATCCCCCCCAAAAGCCCCTGGGAACCTGGCCAAGGCTGATGGCAGCAGCCCCCTCCCCTCCCCCGCGCGTGTGGCGCTTGGTCCCTACTTGGAGCATTCGGTGTTGGGGGCTGGTGGGGCTCGGGCTCTGGCAGGTGGCCTGAGGTCCTGAGGTGACCCTGCCGTGTCTCAGCGGGCCCTGCTGTACGAGGAAGCTCTCTACACTGTCCTGCACCGCCTGGGTAGGCCTGAGCCCAACCATGTGACCGAGGCCTCGGAGCTGCTGCGATACCTGCAGGAGGTGAGCCCAGCCCCCACCCCCCCTGCAGTGGGACTCGGAGTCCTCCGCCCCCTCTGGGCGCCCCCACCCACACCCCAAGCCTCCCCTGCTCCCACCCCGCCAGGCCTTCCACACGGAGCCCGAGGAGCACCAGCAGAAGCTCCAGCAGGTCCGAGAGCTCGAGGTAACCCTGGGCCAGGGCCCACCTGGGCAGGCCGGCGCTGGGAAGCCCGGCTCCCCCTGGGACTCAGGCACCCTCTCCTGTCTGTCCAGAAGCCCGTATTTTGTCTGAAGGCTACAGTGAAACAAGCCAAGGGCATTCTGGGCAAGGATGTCAGCGGTGAGTGGGGTGGGGGCGGGGCGAGGACCTTCTTCCTGGCTGCTTCCTCTCCCATCACAGTCTGTCCCAAAACCCTTGGTAGAAGCTCTGCCCTCCCTCCCGAACGCCCCCTGGGGCTGCCCTGGGCTGATGGCTCCTTGCCCTTGGAGGCTGGGGTGGGGAGGGGCTCTGTCCCTGGGGTGGGGGGTGTGAAGGACCCTCCCAAGGAGCCCAGCCAACACCCTGGCTGCCTCATGCTCTCCAGGGTTCAGTGATCCCTACTGCCTGCTGGGCATCGAGCGGGGCAGGGGCACGGCGGGGGGCAGCCCTGGGCCGCGGCGGCAGCAGAAGGCTGTGGTGAAGCACACCATCCCCGAGGAGCAGACCCACCGCACCCAGGTCATCGCCCAGACGCTCAACCCCGTGTGGGACGAGACCTTCATCCTGTACGTGGCCCTGTCCCAGCCCCCACCCCATCTGGGGCTACTCCCAGCGGGGCTGTGGGGGTCAGCGGGCTGGGGGCCTGCGTGGCCTGAAGCCCTAGCTTACCCGGGGGAGCCATGCAGTGGGAGGGGGGGCGGAGTTCACAGGAAGGGGTTTGGATGCCACGGTGGGCGATATGCTGGGGATGGCAGCCTCGGGAGACACGCCCCGGGCTGGGGTAGCCTGTGGCCTGGACGATGGGTTTACCCTCCAAGGCCTTCAGCCATGTCCCCCTCTCCCTGCAGGGAGTTCGAAGACATAAACACCTCGAGCTTCCATCTGGACATGTGGTGAGGGACAGGCCCTGCTGTGGGTGTGGCAGACAAAGAGGGGGGGCGGGGTGTCCGAGCCTCCACCCGAGGAGTCCAGAGCTCCCGGGACAGCCTCTGCTCAAACCTCTGCCCCAGGGACCTGGACACTGTGGAATCTGTGCGGCAGAAGCTGGGGGAGCTTACAGATCTGCATGGGCTGCGAAGGTGTGTGCCGCGGGGCTCCCGGAGCAGTGGGGCTCCTTCCGCCTCCCCCACGCGCGCCCGGCAGGGGCAGGGGCTGCTGGCCGCAGGCTGTCGGGGCGTGGCCACAGGTGGGGGCAGAGGCCATTGGCCCGCCTCCCTCACGGGCCCTCCTTGGGACAGGATCTTTAAGGAGGCCCGGAAGGACAAAGGCCAGGACGACTTTCTGGGGAACGTGGTTCTGAGGCTACAGGTGAGCGAGGAAGGGAAAGAGGCCCAGGGGAGAGGCAGGGGCTTTGTGGGTTTGTGAAGAGTTCAGGGGGGTTCCAGGACTGCACCAAGCCGAGCTTGGGGTCTGCCTCCCATCGCCTCCGTCTCCACTCGCGGTGTGAGCATCTCCTGACGGCCTGTCCTGCCAGGACCTGCGCTGCCGGGAGGACCAGTGGTACCCTCTGGAGCCTTGCACTGAGACCTACCCGGACCGCGGGCAGTGCCACCTGCAGTTCCAGCTCATTCACAAGCGGGTAGGTCTGGGACAAGGGCCGGGCCTCCCGGCGGCCCGGTGGGGTGGGACAGGCCTCGCCCGGCGTGAGACGCTCGGCTCACGGCCACACTGGCCTTGCAGAGAGCCACAGCTGCCAGCCGCTCACAGCCCAGCTACACGGTGCACCTCCACCTGCTGCAGCAGTTCGTGTCCCACGAGGTCACCCAGCACCAGGTACCGCCCGCCCCGGGCCAGGTGGGGCCGGGGGCTGCCTGCTAGGCCCTGACACCCCTCCACCTGTCCCTCAGGCCGGCAGTACCTCCTGGGATGGGTCTCTGAGCCCCCAGGCAGCCACCATCCTGTTTCTCCACGCCACGCAGAAGGACTTGTCGGACTTCCACCAGTCCATGGCGTGAGTGCGGCGTCCCCTCCCTCCCTTCCTGCTCCCCCTGGGCTGGCAGCCAAGTCTGGCCCTCGAGAGACTTCTGTTTGGCCCTGTGTGTTTTCAGTTAGTTGCCAACTTGTAAACTTCGGGAGATTTCCCACACAGATCCAGACTGTCGGCCTCTAGTGAGACATTAGTCCTGACATCGCACGGTGTCATTTTGCTGGGCTGCAGGGTAGCATGTCCTCCTCAGTCCGTCACAGCTGTCATCAGGCCCACTTCACCCCTTGACATCACCTGAGTCCTTCTGGGCATTTGCCACCCCCAGACC